TTAGTACAGTACCAGCAGCTCTGCATGGCTAGCTAGCTCAAGGGGTCAGTAATTCAACATATGATATGAAGCTGCGGCGGTGATTCCGGCCGGCCGGTCACCAGCAGCAGCCGTATGTGCCAGCGCCGCCGCGCCTAGTAGCTAGCCCATAAGCTATAGCGCTGCCCCCATCTATATCACGTCGCCTCAAGGAGAAGAGCCAGACTGATAGGTGAACCCAATTCTGCTGACATTCTCCACAGCAAGTACCTGTTGAATTATACGCGATGGAGACACGCGGAGAAAACCTAAGCAAATTACATACAAGACGGGACGAGAGGAAGTGGTATACTGTACACACTACACTGCAGCGACTCGTGGGTGATTGAGGACGTGGGCGGCCGGCAGGGTCGAGTGGAGCCCTGGAGGCGCGGTTGCAGAGTTGCAACTCACGTGAGTTGCGTCGCCGTCGCGGTTGCGTTGATAAGGAGAGGGAGTCAACCTGGGGAGGAGACGTACGGAAGTGGAGAGAGTAGGGTTCTCATTGGGATGGGCTGTGTGCCTGTGTAGATTAGGTTGTGTGACCTGTGCCTAATGGGCCAAAAACAGTTTAAATCGTATTTACAGTTTAAATCGTATTTAGAAAACGAGATATTCTGAATAAAAAGTAGAAAACGGTCGGAAAACGTCTAAACCGTTTTCATCCTGTTTTCGAATTTGGCATTCGGTATTTCGCACCGAATTCGAATTTATCCGAAAATACGAATTCGAGCGGATTAAGCGCATAAAACGATGCGATTTGGTACGGGATATGTTCCGGCCGTTTTCATCCTTAATGGAGCTAGGCTAATAATAGTATATAGACATGTGCATACGTATTAATTTCCAGTTCGTCTGCTTGTTCCTCCGATCCCTCTCATCCCATAGCATATTTTGTGCACGCTTCGCTGCAGTGCGATGTATCGAAAGTGCACCTCACTTTCGTTCCATGAGAAGATCGATGTTGGTAGTTCGTGTGCAGTTTTCTCACCATATGGAGGTACGTACTTGTCATGCTAGCTGTATGTGTGTATAGTGTCAATGTGTTACTCTCCATGGAGCTGTGATGACTCTGCAATTATTCTTTCCATTGTTTAGCCATTGAATGCGTGATAGAATACACATTGATGTGAACTTCGCAATTATCGTCTACTCTATTTTTAAATTAAAAAATTATTATTCCGGCGAATTAGTTTTGAATTAACTTTGACCAAAATGGATATCAATAGTATCTCTTGAGACTTCTTTTTATCATCTTTGAAATGCTACCAAGAGACATCATATCACTACGTTTATAATACTAGATAGTATTATGTAATCTGATACCTGTAAGTACCAAATTCATATATAACTCTTACTATCTCCGTTCTCTTTTACAAGACACACACATTAAGATTCAAACTTCAAAATATTTAACAACAATTTGACTAACAATCTTTAACTATTATAACATAAATTTGATATGGCTAGAATTGTAATTAAATCTGCTATTTAGTTATCATAAGTTTATAAGTAATAACATATATAGATGATTAAAGTGTAATTTATGAGATCGTGTCATGTCAAGTGGTGCCTTACAAAACAGAATGGAGAGAGTAATTTAGAAACAAAGCTCAAGTTATGATTTTCGGTATATTAGAAAAATAATACAAGTGGAGAAAGTGAGAGCGCTCAGTTAAGTAGCATTTCTTCAAATGAAATATTACAAAGACCGCCTATAGTTTTGTTGCAAAAGCCCACTCCTACTCCATATTTTGCAAAAACCACCGCAACACACATTCGTAAATCCGTTCTAACAGTTTTTTTCTAATGTGGAGCCGCTGATGTAGTCTTTATCTAAGTTAGATAAAACCCAACATTTTTGTTTATAGCTTCCAAAAAATCACTGTTGAAAAACTTAAGAGTGGTTACTTTGTCTTTAGCTATTTGCAAAATTTCTCCGTGGAAACATGATGAACAATATAAGCATAATTAAATTAAAGCACTACTGGAGCAAGCCATGCTTAGCTAGCATAGCCTATAGTAGCTTCACATTGGCAAAAATAAAATAAAATAAACAGTGGAATAGTTTTTGCAACAAAGTTGACTAAGAGTGGGCATTTGATTTACAACAAAACGTTTAAGGGGGGTGGAACCTTAATGTTCAAATGATATATAAGGATTTTGTAATTTCTCCTTATGCAAGACATATCTATCAAGCTGGAGTATTATTAGTCGTTACTTGAAAATAGAGAATATCCAAAGATATACGCCCCCCACCCCACTCCCATTCCAAATTATAAGACATTTTAACTTTTCTAAATACATTTTTCTTTTGCTATGCACTAGATATATACTATGTCTAGATACGTAATAAAACCAATATATCTAGAAAAACCAAAACATCTTATAATTTAAAATTGAGGGAGTAGTATATAGGAAGAACAACAATATGTGACCTCCATTGTAATCGTGCAATAATCTACAAGTACGAAGAGAACATATCACCTTAGAGGCTTAGCCGTTTACTACCTTTTCGAGTAAAGCAAGAATCTGTACTGAAGCTAGATACTATGCACTTAGCAATCTATAATCCCACATGGGAAGAATTGACATTTAGCAAATTGTTTTTCAATAGGAGTTGCATACATCTATAGCAACGTGGGTCTAGTTTTGTTCATACTATGAGGTAGTGCATAGCTCCAGCTGCTCCTAGTACACACGACAATGGGTTCGACCTGTCTGTGATGCACATTCTCAGAGCACCAACCCTTCACATGGAGAATGAGCCGACCCATCTGTCCAAATATATCACCTCCCTCACTAGTCACTCTACATGCATTAAGCAAAGAGCCTTTCTTAATTTATGATAGGAGGTACCATCAAATTGCACTTTCAAACTATAATAAAAGAGGAGAATTGAGCCTAGCTTAGCTAGTAAGATTCCTTGTGGAGAAATCTTTCCACCTGGATTAGGTTAGGTTAGGTTTAGGTTCCCAATTTAACTTGGGTGCTTGCATTTTTCAGAATTTATTTCAGGATTTGACGATGTTATTTTTTTAGTTATAGAGATTTAATGACGCTATTATTTCAATTGTAGGTGACGTGCCTTGTCGATAATGAGGCACCTATGGTGTGACTTTATCAATCTCATAATTTATGGGTACAATCTAGTCTTTTAGAAATGCTTATAGGGATAGAGTGTGTGTGCATCCATTCAAGGGGATGGGTTGCGTGTTTGTATACGAGTGTCTATAGCTATAATGTGTCTCATAAAAAATATATACAATAAAAGGGATGTGACAAATTTAGCATCTAGATTGCATCTCAAGGATTGTCAAGTTTTAAGCAAAATTTGGGTCTAGGGGTTACAAACCCAATGAAGTTGGATAAAATTATTCACAATTCAATGCATTCTCATTGTGCCATGTCCTAAATAAAGATGACTTATGCTTGGTAAATGATGGGACTAAATGAGAGCCGTAAGGATTTAGAAATAGCTTGTTTGTTCAGTAAGTTTTGGAACTTTTTGACATGAAATCTGACTAGAAGATGCTAGCTCTCATTCATCACGTACCAAGAGGGGTGTGAATTGGGAGGTTCTTCCCAAGAACAAAGAGACACGAAGTAAACTCGTATCAGGCGGTTCAAGTGTAAATTGGGAGACAATTGTATTAAGTATTTAGTATAGGTGGAAAATTGACACATCATTGCCGTAGCAGTACTAATAAATCCGCCCCTCTTCGATTCCGCAAGCCAATGCCGAATGTTTCTGTTCCAACCACAAATCCATGTATCATCAGATGCGAGATGCTGGCGCATCAGAAAACCAGACAGACCTGTAGCCATCAGCTTTAAAAGGCAGCACATCAGCCAACAGAACGGTCAAAATCTTTTGACGCAGATTCCAGATGAGCCAGAAACATAAGATACACATGTTTTTTCGATAAGTTGACGAATCCAACAACATTCAGCTAAAAAACATATTCCTCAAACATAACTCTAAAAGGAAGCCAATAAAAACTGAACAATATCTCCAGTGCATTGTGCTAGTTAGCTCATTCTCGCTTGTGGGTGTACATTCCAGAATTTTTTACTCGAAGCATGGTTCAATACTTCATTTCTTATCAAAAATAAGAATGCCCTTTTTAGTAACAAATTCAATATTACATTTCGTACAACAAATGAGGAGACTCTGGATGACACAAGTGGACCAGCAACAGCAATCTCAAAATCGCAGTGACCCAAGGACAAAATAAACTTATAGGCGATAATGTTTGCTGAATGATCCTTGTCCACAAAGTTATTATCCCCAACAGCAAAACAGTCAGCCATCCAAATCTCAACCTGGTTATCGGTTACGCTCCACTGCCAAACAAGCCGCCATCTGCAGGCCGCCACAATTGGAGAAAGAAAGCTACATTCGATGCTTTATTGTATTGACTTAGCTGACTTGCACCTTGTTATAATGATCGGCGGCCACCGATAGTGATGGTATGGTAACAGGAAATCCATGTCCCATCTGCGATAAGTTACTCCATTAAGTAAAATATATGAACAATTTAAGTTCAACACAGGTCAGCAGGGTTTATTGCACTAAAAAAGTCTGCACGGAAATCAAAGATAACAAATCAATAACATGCGACATCTGGAGCGAAGCCTGCTAATGAGCATGCTTTTAATGTCAGCTTTTAGTTTAGGTCAAAGAATGTCTAGCCCAAGAAATGTTTTGCCATTCTTCACTAGTTTTGAAAAGATTGTAGAAGACAAGGCTACGTGCTAGGAATAAAAAGGGGCGTACCCATTGCAGAGAGCTCCCGCTCTGTGCGGGGTCTGGGGAAGGGTGTTAGTGGCAAGCCTTACCCTCGCCTGTGCAATGCGAGGAGACCGCGACTCGAACCCAGGACCTTCCGGTCACAGGCGGTAAGACTCTACCGCTTGCACCAGGCCCGCCCTTCAAGGCTACGTGCTAGGAATAGCTGTTGCAAATCATATCATAGCAGTTAATAAGACCTTTCTCTGTACACTTCATTTTGATCAACTGCACTGGTACTTCGAGGCATGGTTGCAGTCACTAAGGAGATATTTCCATGTACAGAGTACATACCACCAACTCTACACCATTTCAACTTAGCAACTTTGATACCAACCATTAGCAACATTATATCAACTTTTCTCTTCACCTTACTGAACTGTGTAATTTTGACTTGCAAACATATATCCACTCTGTTCAATAGAGTACTTGACCATGCCATGAGCCCATGAGTCCAGTGCAACCTGATTGCTTCATTAACATTCCTAACAAACTTCCATTTTTCATGCACACTCAGTCATAACAAACTTCCACTCTAAGTACGGATGATTGAGAAGTACACATCCTCAAGAAAACTATGTACATGTGTGGTTTGTTTAGCACATGCACGAAGTAGCTAGTAATGACGACAGGCAACCAAAAGAAAACAAAAAATCTAGTTAAAGATCTCAGCAATTTATTTGTTTGTGTTATGTATTTCATGGCATCCCTATGGAATGTAAAAAATGCATGTTGAAGTATGGTCTGCCTTCACAGTAAAGAGAAGATAACTTACTGTGCTACTCAGTGTGAACTTCTTCACATATCCTACATATTTTGAAGCTGCAAGAAAGGGAGAATGTTAACAGCTTGGACTTCATAGCTCTTCATCACAATTATCGAATGACAGTGAATTATTAAAATGTGTAGATATCCATTTACAGAGAAAAGGTGACATGTTTACTATCCAAATCACACAACCATGAAAACACATTTGACACTACAAGGATTCATCCAGTCCAAGGACAGTTGTATTGAAATACTAGTTTCTGAAGACCTTGTGCCGCAAACATATATATAGATATCACACCTTTGCACTAAATGCACAACTACTCCATCTGATTCCAAATGCAGGTTGTTTTAGACTTGTGCACAAGGATCAGGAAGTAGATATTTCCTTAGTGCCATTCATTTATTTCTTGGGAAAGATGACTCATCCATTTAAGTAGGGCAAAGAAGGAAGAAAATGTTAAATATGCAGAGAAGCTCTAAAACAACTGACATTTGGAGAAAAGTTATGAAGGCTAAAAACAACTTATATTTGGAATCAAAGGGAGTAAAGTAGAGAGAGCAAAGCAACTATTTTGACAGAACTGGTACTGAAAAATTCCATGTGGGAGGTATAAATGCTCCAAAATGTAGGTCATTTTAGTTTTGTTGTAAGTCAAGCTCTGACCAAGTTTATAGAAAATAATATAGAGTAAAATGCATCAAAGGTCCATTAATTTTTGAGGTGTCATCTAGGTCCATAGCATTTTTGGGACCCTACACTTTTTAAGTGGTTCACCAGAGGCCTATCCTTCGTTTTGCCCATAGAACTGACATAGCATGTCTAGGTCCAACGATGACATGGCATGCTCACTAGGCAACTCCAGGCTGAGGCATTTCGTCAAGCAGGTCATGCGAGCAGAATATGACTGTGCCGGCCATGCGAATGGCCGCCATCCCTCATGCCATCCCCGCAGCTCTATAGTCGGCTGGCCACAAACCCCATACTTGCATTCGTGCTTGCCACCTCCGCTCCTATGCTCGTTGGTCACTGACCCACCTCGTCACACTCTGCAACTCGACGTTGTTGTCAGCATGCACAACAGCCGGTGGCAGCGGCAAGCCCAAGGTCACGATGCATCCACCTCTCTCCACAGTGCCACGCAAAGACGGACACCCGCTTGTCATCGACCTCTCCAGCCCGGCCATCTCGCTGATGGCACGCGCCTCCAAGAACAGAACGCTCATAACGCTCATAACACTCTCCGCTAACACCACCGACGGCAAGGACCCCTGCACGGCACCGGCCACACACCGCCCCTGCCAGCCACCGCAAACATGGCGGGCCGCGCTAGCTACGTGCCGCCGCAGCACCCCTCACGCCCCATACTCACTACCCCACTGTCCCCATGCTACACCACGATGGAGACCTGCCATCAAAGCAACTTTGCAACCCCACCATGGTGTGGCTCGGCCTTTGGCAGTTGGCCACTGTACCTAGGGGAGCCATTGTACCCATAAAACAGCGCCTTGCCTGCCAGCATCGTCATGAAGTCACCGAAGATGGCCACGGCGACATTATTGCATGGCGTGTTTTGACCTCACTTGGGAGGCAAAGCACCAGCTTATTGGTGACCTTCTGCGTGCCAGCTAGATGCGTGGGGAATGACTGGGAAGAGGGCATGATCCCAGTGACGCTAACAGCACTGGCAGGCAGCTTCCACGACGACAACTCGCAGGACCATTGTGCAGAGTAGGACGTCGGCAACGGACTAGGGGCCATGGTGAGGGGCAGCATGTGGCAAGAGCACGTGGGCAACAAGCAAGCGCAAGAGCACAGGGCTAGCGGATGACCGCGAGCGTATGGGGCTGGTGTGTGGCACGAGCGTGCCGGCCGGCGTGCAACACAAGGGCAAGGGCCACATGAAAGAGATTGAGAGAGAGAAGACGGAGTTGGCGTGTGGCACGAGTGCACGGCTCGTGAGCGAGCATGACATGAGGGAGGGAGAGATGCACGCGAGTGGCATAGGGATGGGAAGCGTGGCAATAGCAAACACCTGGACATGCCACATCGGATCTAAGGGCCAAACAAAGGTATATGGACCTCCGGTGAACCATTTAAAAAGTTTAGGGAACCAAAAAACCCTCTAAAGTTAATGGGCTTTGGTGCCTTTTACTCAAAATCATATTAACATCTACAATACCAAATACATGCATTTCGCACTATCAAGACTATTTCATGGTGGATTTAATGAAACTAATTCAATGGAGTGTAGATATTGGTGTACGTTAGAGAAGTTAGATTTAGGACAATAAAATGACACATTTTGGAACAGAGGGAGTACTAACGAGAACTACACAATAATCATAGGGAGAGCTTTAAAGGAAACAAGACAGCATCTGACATTGAGTCAAAAGAAAACTGGCAGTTTTCTCAGTGTTGCACTCAACATAACACATAAGAACTGTTTAGCAATCATGTCAGGAGTTCACAAATTATGACTAATGTTTGTTGTAAGGTCAAATGTACAACAGAATGTTTCCATAAATAGTGTCAGTGCATTACTTACTTTTCTTTAAGCCCACTGGCTTAGCAAGTAAAAGTGCATGCACAAAAGCACCTATATTTTCACGTAAACTCTCCTCAGTAAAGTTCACCTGCAAATAACACAAACAATAATAATATGAGACAGTAAATGAAAAAGTTTGCAATTGCCTGGCTAGCCAATATAATGGTAATATCACTAGGACTATTTGCAGTAATGCTGATCTTCCATACCTTCCCAAGGCCAACATGCACTATAGCAGTTTTATCTATTTTGAAATCAACACGGCCTGATTTTGCCGCTTTGACCGCACCAGAGACATCATTCGTCACAGACCCTAGCTACATACAACAAGTGTCACTAACAGAGTAACAGCAGAACGTTGAGCATGATTCTCCAATAAAACTAGAGAACATTCTTACCTTAGGATTAGGCATCAAACCACGTGGACCCAATATCCTAGCAACCTGAAAAGGAAAAACAACCATGATGTTAACTTATGTCATTCAGAAACAAATTAATGTTAATAAGTTCAATATGCTATTGCGCTACCTTTGAAAGTCGGGGCATGAACATTGGGGTTGCTATGCACTTGTCAAAGCTTAGTTTGCCTCCTCCTATACGCATATAGGTGGAAATAATAGATCAATCAAACAATATCAAATATTGATGCTGGAAACTAAAGGATCACTGATTGAAATGAAAGAGATAAAGACGAGTGAATGAGTGATAACTGAATAAAAAATGTATTCTTCAACTTCTTGGAATTATTCCTCAAATATGCAACACATAATACACAAGAAAACGTTCAAGTAGATGGAAAGTGAAGGACTGAAGGAAGCTTAAGAAACAACAGAAGGAAATAAAGTACCTGTGCGGATCTCCTCAATCAACTCGTCACCACCAACTACATCTGCTCCAGCAGCTCTAGCTTCGTCTGCTGCAGGACCTTCAGCAAATACTGCTACCCTAACAGTCTTAAAGAGTAAAGTAAACAAAAAACCTCATTATAAAGTACCATAAGAAACTAGTATTAAAAAATATACCATCATACCTTGCCAGTGCCATGAGGCAATGTTAAGGCGCCACGAACCATCTGTAACCCAGATAGAAGTACAGTCAGTACGTCAGATGATAAGTTTCCAATAACCAATCAATCAAAACCAGACCATCTGATCACTACATCGTCATGGCTACTGAACTGCTGAGGCACTGGTAAAGCATAATTGCTTAGCATTTCTTAAAGCTTCTAGACTTCTGTACCAGAGGGTTTGTGATAACTGATAACATTTATTGTGCATCTGTGATACATGCCACAAGGGAAATAGCAAAATCATAAGTTCACAAAGTGACATTAGCAATATTCTTCATTTTTGTGGCTTCTACTCTGTCTTCAAAGACTCGTGACTCACAGAAAGTATGGTGGAGCGAAGAGGTATTGTCCATTTTCGTTATTGCTACCGGTACATTACCTCAAAATAGTTCTCCGTGCATCATTAATTTGTTGACAACTAACTAGTAGAACAAATTTCTCAGGATTTTGTGAGTACATGGGCATGACTGAAAATCACAAGTGCCACAACAGCTGAGTTGAAATAAATCTTAAAGTACAATTAAGAGAAAACTGCAACAGAGGTCCACAAATTTGTTCGAGCGTCATTAACTCATTCTAAATAGCTTGAATTTGTTGTATCAAATATTTTGGACTAGCTAAATTATGTCATTTATTTACACCAAGTAACAAAGTGGGAGCATTACAGGGAACCCCTAATCTCTTTACTTGCCAAGCCCCATGGCTCATGAACACATCACCTTTCTTACCTGTCAAATAGCTTATATTTGGACCTAACAAGAACAATTTGTCAAGTTTAAAGACACACAAAACTAAAGGTCAAGGATCTCACTCTAAGTGGCTGCGTCCAAGAACATCTTTAAGAATAAAAGTCCAAAAATTCCTTATTTGATGTTTCCATGCAGTCAAACTTCATAAAACTAAATTTTCGATATGTTAACTATCAAGGCTGCACAAGAAATACATAACTAGATAGGACTTCAACAGTACATTTTATAATGTTGTGGTTTAATTAATACTTAATATTTCAAAGTTATAAAAATAATAGTCAAATTTTGATCTTGGAGAGAGCAAAAGATCAATAACATCAAATAAAAGAGAACGGAGGGAGTAGCATGCAATAGAACTCAGAAGGAAATAATAAATGCATCTACATAATTTAGAAAGAAGCATAGCATACCTGGTCACCACGACGTGGATCAACACCTAATATCACATGAGCTTCAACAGTTTCAACAAAATTCCGCTTCTTCTCGTTTGCACTGGTCTAGAAAGCAGAAAGTGAACAAATTGAGATTCAATCATTGACCCAAGAAAAAAGAAGAAAATAGGAAAGATGCCATGCCACATTCAAGTCCAGTATCATGATAAAGCAAGAACAAAATGGAGAAAAAAAATAGTGTCAAGCTATTGACTACATTTTTCAGAGTCGATAAGTACCATGACCCATGCAAACCCACATTTTCTTCAGAACCCACTACTTATCCTATAAATTAGAAGATATAGAAAGTTGAAGAGGTTACAATATTGGAGGCTAAGAAGTGATTAAGTTCTGCAGTTGGGCTACCATATGTTTAAGTAACAAAACTATCACTATTCTTTTTTTAGCGGGAAATACAACAGGGGAGACCCTCACTGTTAGAGCTTTTATCAAAAAAAAAAGAAAAGAAACTGTACAAAAAAAGAAGAGCCACAACTATGAACAAAGCCAGCAGAGGGAGCCTAAAGAACCAAACAGCTAAGCAAGAGAATCTATACAAAGAAGAAAAGCAATATGTCTGTCTTCACTCAATCTGAAAGCTTGAAGTATAGCCTCCTCACAAAAGAAAAAAAAAACTTTCAGGAAGAAAAAGAAGGCCGGCATCTGTCAAAACTATCAGTCTATCACTATTCTCACAAGCACTATTACATGGTCCTCTGGTATTGGAAGTGACACCATTCTCAAAAGGTGCTAATTGCAAATTAGCTTCATAAAATAAAACTACAGACCATTATTCTACTTGCATGCTGACATTCAAGCCTTCCAGTTACATAATGGAAGCTCCCAAACTTGTTACAGGTGTGAACCATCCACCATAGCAGACTTCAAGCACAATAAATCACAAGCTATGCTGGCAATAAACTTGAGAGCAGTTGGCATTTGACACTTCCAGATCATCTTCGATCATATGCAACCCAAAAGTACATGTCAGGCATTTGGGCCATGGGATATATTATTATGTTAAATCAGAAAGCATCCATGCATAATCACAATACTGGGGTTAAACCTGGTAATGGTTTGGTGTAAAACCAGATTTCCTGGTTCGGTTTCTTATTTAGGCCTGTATGGTTTGGGTGGGAATGGGTTGTAATGTCAAATGGGCTGGTTCGGTTTGGGGCAGTAGTTATAATAGATTAGTTGGGTTTGGAATTAGTTTCAGATTTTTGGGTAGCAAACGATTGCAAACCATGGTTCAACTAATAAGCTTGATCCAATGGAAACGCATGGCCTCGATGCTGCCACCGCCTGCACAGTCCCACGACACCGCCACCAGGGCCTCGCTGTCGCCAATCTCTGGCACCGGGGCACCAATCCACCCTACGCTGCTGCTGCCAACATCACTGGATCAAGACGCCGCGCCTGCCCGGACCGCGCCGCCGCCTGGGTGCCAGGGCGGTCATCACCGACGTCTCCTGCCATACTGGACTGTGCCGCGTGTCTGTCCTCGCTGCTGCCTGCGACGACGCGCTCTCGACCTCGTAGAGCGCAGGGCTGCAGTGCTGTTGGGCATGGCAAGCTGCAGCAAGCTCAAGACTCATTCACCGGGGCAGCACAAGAGCCCTCAAGACCTACGGGGAGTAGTACAGGTCCACGGAGGACATCTCCACCAAGCACCACTAGTTCATGCGATTGTGGAGATCGCCGACGCGAGCTAGTGGGTGCGTCTTCGGCGCGGAGCTTGCCGGTGTGGAGCTCACCGGCGCTGCTGCGTCTCCGGCACGGAGCTTGCCGATGGGGAGCTCGCCGGCGCTGCTGCGTCTCCGGCATGGAGCTTGCCGGTGAAGAGCTCGCCGGCGCTGCTGGCTCTAGCTCCTGCTCCTAGCAGCAAGCAACAGGGAAAGGGAAAGAGAAGAACTGAAGAAAGCAAGAGGAAAGTGTTTCACTGTTTCACCTGGTGGACCAGCCTCCATAGGATAAAATAGTTCAGCGATTATTTCAGTTGGTACTTGGGAACCGAGCTGAGATAAATGGACTAGCTTTGGCTTAGAACCATGGTTTGGAGAATGGTATGGACTGGTTCAGTTTGACAAATGCTTGTAGTCTGGTTCAGTTTAGTTTTGGAGAAAGGGAAAATAGTATGGAGCGGGGTGGGCTGACATTTAATTCTGGAAGAGTTTGGTCTGGATACGGGTTGGTTTTCGGACCATTACCATGTTTAACTGGGGTCATGAAAGTCAATCCAACTGACTGCGGTGGGTCAGTAGCACAAATCATATGACTCCAAACATTGTAGTTCAGGTTTCATTCACCCAGTGCAGCATCCAGTGTTGTCAAAATCAAATATTCTAGACTAAATTGGAGACTCGATGGTAGGATCAGAATCATGGACAATGTAAAATCTAGAAAATTTTTCTCCTTGTTTGTTTCCTCGGAAATTATCTCAGGCAGTCAGCACCACAACAGCAGATGTGTGCTCCTTGGAGCATGCGAGCACACCACATAGCTCCTAGGTGTAGGTGATATCGCAACACGAGGATCAATCTGGAGCATGATTCTAATGGGTTTTACTACTTGGAGAGCAACTCTACAGAGACTATCATATATGAGTCATTTTTTTTATCAAAGTGGTTTCGTAAAGCCATGTGATTCTATGGCCTAGTCACGATTTTAACAACCATGGCAGCATCTGAAATGCATGAGACACGTCCTATTTGACTGCAATCAAACAAAAGTTGCATCTGTTATTTATGTGAAAATATAAGCTAGCGCTGCAATCAGAAACCTAGTTCTGCCATTACAGAATTCACACAATTCATCGTTTTCTAATTCCAGTTCTTAGCACGATAAAATGAAACAAAGTCAGAGGGCATCCCCTTCTCAAGCCAACATTATGGACACTACTTTTGTGGAGATAAATCAAAATCACAACAGACCTTGACTAGGCGGATGGCGTCGACGAGATCAATGGCGACCTTCTGCGGCCGCTTGACGATCGGTATAATCGTCGGGTACGGCAGCTGCTCCTCCTCGAGCGGCATCCCAAAGATGCTCCTGGTGGCCCGCGCCGCGTCCATCTGGATCCGCTCCGCCTCCCCCCGCAGCCCCTCGTGCTGCACCGCCTCCGCCTCCCCGCCGACCGGACGGTCCTCCGGCAGCGGCGCGACCCTGGACGGGTATGAGACGGGCGAGATCGCCGGCGCCGCGTCCTTCACGTACCGCATATCCTGCTGCGTCCACTCCCGCGGCGACATCGGCGGCTGCGGCCGTCGTGGCAGTGGGGATTGGTCCCTGGGGGCAGCGTCCAGGGTTAGCGGGGCGGCGGACTCCTCGGGCGGGGCCTGCTGCTGCGGCTTCGGCGCGTAGGAGACGGGCTTGATGGGCGGCGGCGGGGAGGCGGAGCTGGAGTTGGCGTCGGAGGAGAAGTGGAAGAGAGAGAGCAGGCGGTGGTGCTGCGGGTGGCGCCGCGAGTAGGAGAAGAGGAGCCGGAGGTGAGCCATCGCGGGGTGGCGCGTGGTTGCGGCGGCCGGCGGCGACTGGCGAGGCCTGGGGTTTTAGCTTGGGAAGAAGCGAGGAAATGGGGAAGGGTTCTCGCGTGAACAGATGGGCTGTATCCTCCACTTCGTTTGTTTGGGTGGTTCCTGTCATGGTGGGCCGGGTGCCCGCGTGTTTGTCTATCTCGGGCTTATTTCGTTGATGGAGGGAACGAGGAACATCTCGAGACGGCCCAACCTGAAAGTATAAGGTGAAGTCAACGAACGGCGTGTGGCCATTTTTGTTTCCAATTAGAGCATCTATATGAGTTGAAAAGATAACTCTCTAAATTAATTTTAAGGGTAACATGAGAAAATTAGACCTCCAACAGGTTGGAATCAAAATATTTATCTTTACATGCTTCGAAAACCGTGCTCTTGACTCGTAACGAACAAGCTGTCAGGATTAGAGCACGTGCCACGTTGTGAACAAACTCACCAAGAGTACATGCACTCATGGCACATAAGCTTGGATCAAATTCCAAAATCCTAAGACCCTATCTTTTGTAAATTTCATCAATTTGTGTAAAAGTTTCTTCATTTTTCCTTCAAAACCATGACTAGGATGCTTTTATGGGTGCTCTACATAGTGTTAAGATGAGATTATGAACTAGATTCCTTATTGCACAATCTGGGGTTGAAATTCTCCTTGCTTGGCATTTCATTCCTATCTCTTGATAAATCACCTAAATTCAACATCTTCCTATCCAATTCAACGATTAGGTTGAAATTTTATGTTGCATATCACTTGAATACATTTCACATGTCTTTATTCAACATATGTGATCATGTTCGTTTCGCTGAATTTTAGCTTATGCTGATTTGTTGTGAGAGGAAAATATTGTTCATTCGCTGAAAAGTTCTGCTGAAGTAGTGTTGCAGAACAATGCTATAGTGTCTCTCTTATAATGCGTCATAGCTCTTACCTATGCTGCTTCGCTTATAGGTTTGCTTTTCTCTAGAATTATGTGCTTATGTAAAATCCTAACTCTCTTGTGACCTATTGCAGCTTGGTATTCTGTGATCAATGACAGGTCAGTTGGGTAGATTTACTCAAGGCCAAGCCCTTTGAGTTAAGCCTAAGGTCAATCCTCAAAAGATCTAGTGATGCCAAGATCGATTGTTTCAAGATCAGACATGGTCAGGGAATCTGCAGAAAGTTTGGAAGATGAGAGACTTCCTCCAAGGGTCAATAAGAGAAAGAGAACCTCAAGGAATTCCGATCACTTTTAAATGTTATAGCTCTAAGAGGTTAAGAAAAATCAAAATTTGTCGATTTGAGAATTAGTTTCATTAGAAGAATAAGGAAGAAGGAACTAGCAAAAAGTTTTGGACCATAACTCAAGAAAAAGTATCTACAAAGGTTATCAACCTAGAAGAGTGGCTAACTAATCATAAGCTTCTTGGTTAGTGTGAGCTTGAGAAAGTAGGTAAAAGACTCATACACCCTCTGTTTGCCATATTTCAAGGCTTTGAGCATTTGTTCGGTGAATGAATTAGATAAGGTAGTGGTTTCTTGGATTCGCCAGTTTTATGCAATATCTGGAGTTGTACTAAAAAAATAATTCATACACTTCATGATTGATGATCAACAACACCGGTTGAACAAAGAAATTTTGAGAGCTAGTAGAAAAAACATCAAATTATCTATGAAGATGCTTGACCTCCATGCCGAAGTAAGGTAGGAGGATGCTCACACAATAGACCTGAAGCAATCACGTTTAAACAATAGATATATTTTTCGTCCACCAGGAAGATTACTTTGGCATATTTTTTGGAATTTATTTACAAGACACACTATATTTTTGTAAATCAGAAAAAAACAAGAAAAATATTGTCTTTTCTAGAAAAGTCTAATTTACCTCTCTCAACTATTTTGGATGTCAGATTTTCCTCCCTGATCTATAAAACTAGTTTTTTAACACCTCCCTCTCAACTTTTAAAAATCGTTCATTTTTACATAACGAATTATTTTAACGGTGGTTTTGCTGATGTGGCGCCACGTTAAATGGGCTAAGTTGGACTAAGTTGAAAGTTTAAGAAGGTAAATCAACCTAGAAATATTTTTATAAAAAATATCTAAAATTCATAAAAAATAAATTTTCAAAATGTCATCCAAATATATTTTTACATGAAAAATAATGCAATTAAAAATCTAAAACCTTGTTGAGGAAATTTATTTTAGCTCAGAAAATTATGATCTATCTTATGGTGCCTAGGTTGAAATTTTGTTTGAATCTTTTTGGACTTACTTTGGTGTTTAGTTGCCATTAGAAGCTCTGTCACATCCGGTTTTATAAAACAAAACCAAATGCACATCACATGTATGCCAGGATCTGTTTATTCATACATGCGACGACAAAATGATACATTGCAATGTTTATTACAAAAGCGATTACATATATAAAAAATAACGAGAGGGTCTAAACACAAAATTACATCAGAGTTCTAGCAGAGTAGGATCTCCATCCCTTCAGGCAACTGACCGGGGGTACACCAGCCTAGCATCGACACCGTCTTCCGGAAACACCATCTTCTAGAAACTCCATCTTCTAGTACAAACCGCTGGGTGGGGTAGCAAAGGGAACAAAGAGAATGGTGAGCACATCAAAATGTACTCCGCAAGTGTAGAAAAGTATGACATGCGGGCCAACACAAGGAAAGGCTAACATGGTTTAACACAAGCCCTTAAGCAACACACCTATTACCTTAAACCTTAAGCACCTATTTTACTAGGTGAGATATTCCTTCACCTCAGAGAACCACTGTAACCAACACTCGAATCCCAACCGAGCACTACATCTGGATCCCGTCCAAGCAAACCAACACTTGGATTCCATCCAAATCTCCCAATTGAACCAGAGCCATCTAATCAAGAAGTCCAGTCGCTTCTTGACCGTGAGCATGGTGATATATATCGATTTACACTCTCTGCAGAGGTTGCACACTTTCACCACGAGTCATGTTTCCCCATCATGCTTCACACTACCTAGGTGCTCAATGGGGTCACACTACAAGGCCTTTACAAAGTCCCTCCAAGTCTGCTTTACACCTTCACTAAGGTTTCTAACCGCTAACAAGGTACCAACACCACCGCAGCAGAAGCCCCCTCTTGTGCCACACACCGACCCGATGTAGCATAACTTGGAGGAAACTAATTACTTGGCCAGGGCCAGAGCCATATAGCCCTCGAGGTTGCGCTGTTAAGCCGGGTTACTTGTCCATGAACCGGTCCTTAGAATCCAAGCAGGAACGAGCACAATTCACTCCACCAATTCCAACAATCCACCAGAAAATATTTACCCAAAATCTGGCACACACCACCACCAAAACCAACCATTCTGCCGGATTCCTATTCACCATGTTGCTATAAACATTACCAACCCAAGTTGCATAAATCATTAATCATTATTAAATGATAACCTTTCCAACCCAAGACTGCAAGCTAAGCAAGATAGCTACCCAACCAACCCAGGTTACAAGGATGATAACATCAAGTTCTAGTAAACCCTAACATAGGATTCAAATTATGACTCAGCATGTAACTAATGGTCTAACTAAACTAACTCAAATCAAAAGAAAAGTAGGAACAAGTATGGTCAAGGACATTTGCCTTCAAATTGGTTCGGATCAGAGGTGTCGAATTCCTGGTCCTGGAAATTCACGGTGTAGGCACCTTCTGCGCACAAACAACAAGCATGGGCCCACAAAACAATTAAATAACAGTACACCATAGCACATTAAAAGTTTATAAAACCTATACTAAACAGTAGTACTCATCGCTACGATCGCGCGGATAAAAAGAACACGAAAAACGGAGTTGAAACGAAGAAGTTATGGCCTCCCAAAGACCAAGGACTAATCTGCGGAGAAATCAGGGACTAATCCGTGAAACCAGAAAATATTTATTTGCAATTAGGTCCTTCATCTTCCTTGGGTCGGTCTTCAGTATGTCATGTTAGTGTGCTACTCTGATCCGTAGAGAGAATCTGGCTGGCCGGGAGACCAAAGAGAAGGCGCGTCTTGCGGTCACCGAGGGGTCAAGGGCCACTGGGGAGGGCTTGCAATGGGACCGGGGAGGCGATGGTCGCCCCTGCAAGGCCACAAGAAAGCGACCTGAAGAGGGGAAAAAAACAAACATGGAGATGTTCGTCTGAATAAAATAGATGAGATGGGAAATGGGTCAATCAGTGATGGATTCGTGCAATAGGATATACCACGGCGTAGAGAACGAAGAGATTTATCTCTGGGTGGTGGTGGTTGTCACCGGAACACGATGGTTTGCCCGTGTAAAAGCTCATGGGAAGTTAAATCGAAACCTAGCCTCTTCCAAACTTCTAACGTCCGATATATAGGAGGCTACGGGTGGCGGGCTGCGGAAGCAGGTTGTACTACGGAACCCTTGCGTCGAGAGGAACACCGACATATATATAATCCTAGGGTTTGAAAAATTTTCCGAATTTCTTAATTTTGGGATTTGTTTCTGTTTAAAAATAATTCCAGGAAATTCCTGAAATCATATTTAAGCCACGAAAAATCACAGAAATTAGAGAAAATTCTAAGAAAATTCCTGGAGGTAGATATGAACATGATGGATCAAAATATGGAGTTTGGAGCTCATGAAAAGGTTATTGAAAGGTTTCAATAAAAATATTAAGCTGTGGGAAAAAGGAATTTAATTCCCGGAAAAGCGAGAAAAATTCCCGAGAGACTTGAAACGACTCCTAAACGTGTTTTGAAAGTGATCACATCATAAAACCAAGATGCAAACGGGATGAATGCAACAAAACAATTAAAGCCTATGTTGAATTGAGTTTTAATTATAAATAGTTTTTCCCCCAACTATAAATTTGGTCATATCTCTACTTTAGTTCTATCAAAATTTTAGAAACTTGCAAAAATTAAAAAGTTCGGGTGTTACAAACCTACCGCCTTAAGATGAATCTCGTCCTCGAGATTTGGAAAGG